ATTTTACGACGTACAACGTATAATGATACCTATAAAGTTCATTCTATTTTTCGTTGCAAGTACACGTCCATTTTTACTTGTTCACCGATTTATTCCAATAAAATTGAAGACAATCGATCAAAGATGAAATAAAAATATATATATATATATATACATATTTGATTGAAATTATATCGTAAGTTTTTTTTTTTCCTTTCATTCGAACTACGCATAATGAAAGGAAGAATCTGTAATTTTAGAATACGTTTGATTACGAATAATGTAGAATTTTTGGAAAATTTATACACGATAAATTAACACAATGAAATATATGAAAAATTTTCCCTTGTTACATAATTCCCTTGTATAATTTAATTCAATGCCTTTATTTATTTTAAATTTAAATAACTTAAAAAACTATGTATTTTACATAAATGACGCTTGATAAAATTTTAATCCTTTTTTAAAAAAACGGCATCGAATCAATTTACACATCTGATACAATCACGCGTGAAAAATATTGAATTTGATAAAACAAAATAACTCGTTGCCGTATATGTAAATAAATTAACGCAAATAATCATATACATATATAGATACTTTTAAATATCTAATAATCTCTTTCAGAATATACATATGGATACAATTGATTTATCAAAGAACGATATTCATCACATGTTTCTCGTACACGTTTTTTTTTTTTTTTTTCTACCACAAAGAAATAAAATTATTTTCAATGAACGTGCAATCACGATACATCGAATATCATCAACGATAATCGTATCCAACACGTGTCCAACGATACCATTATCCTTTGCACGTCGCCTTTGCTCACGACGCGACGGAACCATTTTTTTATACCAATAGTAAAACCGTTAAGTAGATTTCTCGTTCCTCTAATCAATTATACTAAATTGGACGATGCTTGCCTCTGTTCGTTCTCGCCGGAGAAAAAAAGAAACCGCATTCACACACGTTCTCATCAAAAATACACGTTTGATATGCTAACCGTATATCTCTTTCCTCGCGATTTAATAAACCCACACTTTTTTTTTTTTCTGTCGTGTGTATTCTCTTTTTTTTTTTTTTCTTCCCCATTCTACCGTTCACTGTCCACTCTACAAAATCAAACTTCTCGAATATAATTGATGGATCTTATTTGTTATCGTGGACATTACAATCGCATTTCTTCTTCTCTTTCATTTTCTATGTTTTCTTATTTTTTTTTCTTTCTTTCCTTTTTTTTTTTTTTTTAATTGATCAGTCACTGTTCACCTTTCTCGTTTACCAAATCGACGAGGGAGGTCGACGAGAAATTGAACGGAGTCAAAAAAAAAAAAAAAAAAAAATTCTTAAATATCATATGCATCATAGCGGTCAGCTCGAATGCTGAAATCAACATCGAATGATGAAATCAGCAGGCTATATTTATGTATCGACGAGATCGAGAATTTAGTCCGGGATGAGAATGAGGATCGTTTCAAATTGGCGATTTAAAGCGTTTCAAGGTTTTCCTTTTTCCTAATTAATCCTAGGAAACGTAACGGCTACCATCTTTACCGCTAACTTAAGGTTACACGAATATTTACAACGTTCTAAACGGTAATTAAGCGTTGACGATTAACATGCCCGACCGAGAACCAATCCACTTTTTTTTTGTTACCGAGCTTAGAGATTTATGGAAAACGGATCGATTTATTTACAATCATACTTTTTCTCAGACTTTGACCATAGAATTAGGACCATATGAGTAAAAAAAATTGTTTTTTTTTTGATTGCAATTTTACGTTGAAAATATGTAGCGATTAAATGTATTTGTTATTTACTGAAAAAATTAAAATTATTAGAAAAATGTTGATCCATTTGAGAATAAAATTTTCGAGAGAGTTTTTTTCTTTTTTGTAAATCAATATTACTTTAAAAGTTATTCTTGCACAAATATTCTCGAGAGTGACTTTAAAAAACTTAATCATATAAAATTTTAATGAAATAAATTTTTTACGAATTTATTGCAAACATATATTTCATTGTCCATATCAAAGTATTTTTTCGTTCAATCTTGTTATCAGAATTCACAAAACTTTTTTCAACTCTAATAAAAAATTAAAAAAAAAAAAAAATATAGAAAATTTTCATTTGGTCGTAATTAAATGGACAAAGACTGCACCCCGGAGATCGCACAGTAAGATCGATACCATTTCTTTCTCTTACTCTTTAAAATTTAAACAGTATCAGAATTGTTCAACGTTATTCAATTGTGAAGGATAAACTTTAGTTTAAGCTTTTAAACCAATTATAAATTGAACTTCATGCATATGCTATGGATGGAAGAGGATATAATTTTATATTTTATTTCCAATGTTTTTTTTAAAATGAAAAAGTAGAAAGATGAAAAAATCTTTATCTTTTTCTTTCTCCTTCCCTTTTTTCTTCCTTTTTTCCTTTCATCCATTCCATTTTCCTTTTTATCATCTTCCTCCTCTCTTCTTTATCCAACTTCCTTTTTTTTTTATCGTTTTCTTTTTTCTCTTTTTTTTTTATCACTCTGCTCCTCTTCTTCTCTTTTATCATATATCGTAAAATCGAATTGAATTTTTCGAACTTTTTTTCTCTCTCGTAATTTAATTGCCGTATAAACATATTTTATTTCTTCCTCTTTACCAGAATTATTCAACATTATTCAACTTCGTGAAACGCAAATTCAGTTTAAGCATTTAAACTAATTGTGAACTAAACGAACTTCATCTGTGCCAAGAGAAATAATAAGCGAATAATTCCATATTTCTGTTTCCAATATTTATTTTAAAAAACCTCGGCGAGATAAACCGATGAAAAAAAAAAAAAATGGGACGCGAAAAAAGTCTTTTTTATGTTCCTCTTCCTCTTTATCACTCTTCTCTTCTCCTCCCCCTCCCCTCTTCTTGTCATCTTTCTCTTCCTCCTCTCCTTTATCATCTTCCTCTACCTCTTTATTACTCTCCTCCTTTATCGTATATCGTAGAATCGAATTGAATTTTCAATGAATACCTCTTTTCTCTCAATTGTCGTATAAACGTGTTCCATCCCTTCCTCCACACCAGAATTGTTCAACATTATTCAACCTTGTGAAAGGCAAACTCCGTTTAAGCTTTTAAATTAATTGTAAATTAAACGAACTTCATCCGTGCGCCAAGGGAAGACGTATAATTTCATATTTCTGTCTCCAATGATTCATTTTAAAAATGACCATATTCGAGATAAATCGATGAAAAAATAAAATCTATGAAAAAAATCTTTCTTCTCCTCCTTCCCTTCTCTATCATCCTCCTCCTTCTTTTCTTTTTTATCAACCTCCTTCTTCCTTCATTTCTTTATCATATATCGAATAACAAAATCGAATTGAATTTTCAACGAATATTCTTTTCTCTCTCGTAATTGTCGTATAAAGATGTTCCATCATCGTCTTTCTCCTCATCGTCAAAGATATGAATAATTTTTAATATCCCTACATATTCACACACACATACATACATACATACACACATACATATATATACACGACGTCAACCTTATTACTTATTACTTGGATCGAGTTAATCTTGGATCCACTGGTGATGGAAGAGTAGAGTCTTTAAAGAGTAAAATCCAGACGAAAGGTTTCTTCGGGGAATTAAAAAGGAACGCGATTAATTAACTAATTCTGAGAGAGAGAGAGAGAGAGAGAGAAAGAGAGAGAGAGAATGTGTGTGGACATTCTCGTTACTGTGCGATCCCACGTCCGGGTTGTCGGAAGACTACCTGTAATTTTCATAAAACGCTACCACAAACGGACGGCCTGGTTTTCATCTATTTCTCAACGACGCTAGAAAAAGAATTCATTAACGTTGCACCCTACTTTAGAATCCTTCCGTGGCTACTACTTAAAAAATCTCGCGAGGGAAGGGAATAGAAGAATGGACAAATTGTAACGGATCTCCCAAAAGTTTCCATTCTATCAGGATCGAGCATTGAAATAATTTTTGCTACGTGGCATTTCAATTATTTGAATAATGATAATTTGTGGATAAATTAAAAGATGAAACTATTATAACATATTGATCAGATTATACATAGATAATTAGAATTATAGAAGCAAATATTGTGAATAAGTGATAGATATAATTGTATATTCCTATCTGAAAAAAATATTCATTTTTTTGTGATCTATTGATATACTTTGATAATTGCAGATACAAGAAATTCAACGAATTTTACTTGTTTGGCTTAGTTCTAATGTTATACATAATATAAAAATTTCTTAAATAATTTATTTTCCACGTAACATTTCATTAAATAAAAATCGCCCAATCCTGTACAATACAACGCAAACAATGTACCACAATTATTCTCACGAAATCGTTAACGAAGATATTAATAATCGTATCACAGACAAGGAATAACACGATGACTAGAAAAAATTTTCAAAAATGTTCGATCGACTAGATTTCTCGTTTTCTACGTGTTCCTCGAATTCTATCGGAAGTTATTCGATTTTGGCTGTAAATTTTAATATTTTGGCGAATGATGAAATTAAAAAAGAATTTGGGAGAATGAGAGAGAGAAAAAGAAAAGGATAAAGAGGAGAGAAAATAAAGAAATCAAAGTTTCCATTTACACGAGTAGGAAGAAACTCGCCAAAAGCGATTTCTCTTCGAGACTAGATTCTATGAAAGAAGTGAGAGCATATGAGAAGAATGAGGAAAGGAGGAGGGAGGGGAAGAAAGAGGATTAATCGATGAGATGGACGTAAATGGAAGCGAAACGCTTTAAATCTTTCCCGTTGATCGAATCCTCAGAACGATTCGAGATCCATCGATACTAAATTCGCCAAAATAGGTCCCAGATCTGGCATGAGACGACCCTGAATTATTTGTTAGGCATTTAAGCTATATACAGAGGGGTGTGTTATCCTTAAAAGGAGATCGATATGTCTCATTGGTGGCGCGTTGGTACAGGGAATCCCTTGGATAGGGAAAACCTTGTTGCAATGGCTAATTTTCTTCTTCTTCTTCTTCTTCTTTTTTTTTTTCTCTCTCTCCTCTTCGACTTATTCCTTCGCAGACAAGGATCCATTAGTCAACGCCATGACTGGGCCAGAACTTCCCCTCGAGTTTGTGTCAGAGTTTAGTTCCAAGGACGAGTCCTGCAACATAAAAAGGAACGAATATTTGTAATAAACATTTAAAACAATATTTGAATTTGGAAGAGTGATAAAATTTAAATTAATATATTATTCTGAATAATTAGAGATGTTTTTAATGGAGGGATACAAAATGAAATGGAAATTTATGAGGGATGATTTTCGAACGAAGTTGTTTCCACAAATAAAACTACAATTGTTACTGTACGTTTAACAAAAATAATTTATATTTCAACAATCAAGTTTCATTATTTCGAATTAACTCTTACAATGTGTTATAGCTTATCACTCTGCATTTTAATGTGGCACGAATTTTCATTATTATTACTACATTCTTTTATTCTTATTATAATACGTCACATCATTTTGACGTACAAATTTAATAAAATAATATATCACTGGGAAATATGAATATATCCATAATTTCTAACTTTCTAAAAATAATTCGATTTAAAAAATCCAAGCTCACTTGCATTTCCTCCAATTTTAAATTCACAAAAAAAAAAAAAAAAGTCGTACAATTACTCCAATATCTTTTGATCAGAAATTCTACAATGCAATTGATAAAAATTTCAATCTGCAAATAAAACATTTCCAATACCAATTGCCTTAAAAATAAAAGAAAAAAATTTCGATATCCTCGGGAGACGCGTTAAAAATAAATCGAAAACGTTTCACGGTTATATGGAGTCCACCGTTCCACAGCGAAAATCGCAATGAATTTTTTCGTGCGTGTGTTACGACGTAACTTGAGTGCAGTTCTTCGAGAATCTTCGATCACGAAAGCAATAACACGTTTACGCGCGGTGATTACACGGATACGATGGTTTCGCGCGGCCATTTGCCAATGATTGTCTTCCCACGAATGCGAAATCGAAATGGTTGAAACGTGGTGGACGCATTCGAGAGGCCTTGGTGTGATTTATCGACGAAGGGAAAGGATTTCTCGGGATGTTGATACTTTTAGGAAGATGTCTGGAATGATATTCGTCATCGAACGATTCTTATTGTCTATCATTTTATCGATTTTAATGGAGAGAGCATAGAGATGAAGAGACTGGACAATCGAGAATGATATTTGTCTTAACATAATGAGATGATGTTGCAAAAGTTTTTATTTTGATTGATAATATAGATAATTGAGTATTGTTGAAAATTGATATGTTGAGGAAAGTGAGAAATTTTGTAGAAAGATGGAAGGATGAATAGGAAAAATTAAGAATTGTGAAAAGTTGCAAAGTTCTCTGGAGGAGAATTTTGTGAGAAAAGGGATAAAATAGAAAATTAGACGGTAAAACGTAATAAAATAATGTCGATATGTTGATCAAGGTGAGAAAATTTGTGAAAGAAATCTTTGCGACGAATATAATATAAAATTATGATAGAAAGTGAAACGAATTAAATAGAACGTAAAAAGAATCAGATTTAAAATTTAACGTGCAAAGTAATAATGTTTAATGGAATGCAATTAATTTTCATTCCCATTAAATTAAAAATTTATATCGGTAGTGGATGTAAAGATTTTTTATACGATTTCATTAATTACTCCGATTTCGAAGGGAGCAGATTACTATGGGAACCTGTTACAATTGGTAATCTGTAATATGATATAAAAATTAATACGAATTTATATTCGATTTAACTGGTGCGGCGCGCACTGGATATAAAATTAATAAATACAGGGTTGTGATGAAAGAAGGGAATTCAGTTGGAATTTAATTTACCCACCCGTGAATGCCTGAATATTACACGTCTATACAAATGTCCATAATAAATGCATTGTGGATCAAACCAATATTTCTCGAATTCTATTACTTCATGTTTGCTTTTCCTTTTCAAAAGGAATACGATGGAATTTTATTTTGATCCCGAAGAATATTCTTTTCGACACTTTTTTCTTTTTCTTTTAAAAATATTGTTGCAAAAATTTGTTTCTCCACAATCTTGATTAGTTTAGGGGTCTTAAATTTTAGAGAAAAAGGAAAATTTATATAAAAATTCTACAAATTCAATTGTATTGAATTTCATATAGAATATTTTAATAATTTGCGATAAAAGTAATTAAATTCCAATAAATTTATATTGGAGAATTGGAAATGAAATGAAACGTAAAAAATACTTACAATGCTGAGGGCATGCATGATGCAAGCTTGTGTAGTGTTCTCAACGTGGATCAACTCGTCGCATTCTTCGTGGTCCAGTCCATTTACATCAGATCGTATTTTAATCGGTGACAAAGCTGCCTCGTTGTCTGTTGATTTACCACTGTCAGGGGAGGGCAATAATTCGTGTCCATCCAGATCTTCTTCTTCCGCGCGTTCCTCATAATCTGATGCTTTGGTTTCCTGTTGAAACAATTAAAAAATAAACTGACTTAAATTTCACGATAAATTTAATCATTAATTAATACATAATAATAATAAACAGTATAATACAATAAAATAAATTTTCAAACAATTTATATTGCCAAATATTTGATCATCTCAAATAATAATGCGCAATAAAAATATTAATATTATAAATATAAATTCACGTATCATCGAATAATAAAATAATATTTCCATAAAATATATGTCGAAATTTCCAAAAAAAAAAAAAAAAAAAAAA